TACTCTTAAAATATCTTATCATTATTGAACTTTGTCAATAGTAATTGATTTCAATAATGAACAGAAAACTATTACAGCTATTATAAGAAATATTCTATGATATTCTTAAAATATAGAATGTTATATTCTTAAAAAAATGTTTATTCTAAAAAAATGCAATTTTTCTTTAGTGTTTTTAACTCGCTACATGTTGAAACAAATTTCTGTCTTACTAGGCAATTTATTGGACTATTCAATAAAAATAAGCAAATTCAACAAGTCCAAGCCATAATAAAACATTTAAATGTCTTTAAAATTTAAAGAATTTTAATTTACTTACTGGACAATAACATTAGTATCAGTTGTTGAGTCATATTTCAATACTTTATTATCATCATTAAGCATATCTTCATCTTTAAGTAACAACGATACATCTTTAACAAATTTATCTGAATAAGTGATAATGTGTGGTCTAAAATAATTCAATAATAATCAATATTTAAATACATTTGGTTTTTATAAAATTTAAATTCTAAAACAAAAATAGATGCAATACTTAGGTTAATTACTAACTCTGTAGATTGATCGTTTTTGATTGCTGAGTGGTGTATAGTTTTGTCATAAGATATTTTTTGGATAGATTTTGTAGAATTTGTGTGAGAAACTATTGGTGGAATACACTCAGTGCTGACTGTCGGAACTTGATGGTCTACATTTGGAACATAGAAGTTGTAAGACATCAATTCTCCAGAATTAATTTGTTGTGGTAGTTGTACATTGCTTTCTTCAGTCAGCTCCGGAATCACATTTAATATGTACACAGGATAGTTCTCCAAATTTTGTAAATCCATTTCTAGAACATAATACCTGTTTAATGGTCTTACACAACTGACAGTATGTCCATACTTACTGTGATATACCACAAAAAAAAAAAAATGTTTATAAGCCTTTAAATTTAATCTAGATGTTAAAAATTTTAAATCATGACTAAAAAAATTATCAGCGAATAATAATTATTATAAATGTGTTTTTAAGGAGATACCGAGAGGTAAAACAAAATATAGTACAAATTTATTAACTTGGCTATTTATTCAAAAATGAGTWGATAAAAAATAGTTTAGTAGGTAAAGAAGGCAGAAGCTCAGAACTGCGAAAATTGTTTGCTACCTACCTTAGATCATATTATACATAATATACTATATTATGATATTAATATTAATATTATGATATTATGATCTAAGCTGCTGCTGTCAACCGAAATATTTGCTTTATCAGTTTATAGTTATCACTATATAAACGAGAGAACGACTTTTGTTTTTTATAAGTGATAAACCACGATTTAAGATAAAGATAGCMCAGGAATGCCAGGAATTGAATAGCCCATGTCCATCCATATCGCCGTCTTGTTGTGTTCCATTTAATTTTTCATATTATTATTTTGTTCTGTGATTTCGTCGATGTTCAATTTTTTCCAATGTTCATTCAACAATCGTGGCCATCATTAATAATTGATACTATACAGATTTTAGATTTTTTCTTTTCCATTGACGTTTGTGAATTTAAATTTTGAACATCGATCGACTTCAAGGCTTCAAGTTTTATTGCGTTATTGATCTGCCCGTCTTTGCTTACTGCCTAGTGCCTACAGTCAGTAACATCAAATCAATAGTGCGTTTTATTAATTAATCTTTGTTGTTTTTGGATGTAATTTGRGTTAACATTTTATTTACACTACCGAATTTCGCAATCATGGATTTACTTGGGTCGATCATGAAATCAATGGAAAAACCACCTACTGTGGATACCAAAGAGAAACTAAGGCAAAAAAGTAAGCCTTAATTGGATGTCATTATTTTTTATTTTTTGAAATTTTTACATGTTTATCGGTAAAGTGAATAATTCTGTATTATGCRTTTAGTGCCTGAATAGTAATTATATAAAATGTYTACAAAATGTCTAGGAATGTACWTRATATGARTTTAGCATAGTCAATATTTCCTTGTCATAATATTATGGTAACGTATTAACTATAAATGTTATCTCCATTTAATTTTTCATTTTAGAAGCCCAAGAAGTGTTAATCAAACAACAGAATAGGGAAAAAGCAAGAATGATACAGTTCCGCAATGAAGTAATTCTAATTATTTATACATTTTCATGATTTGTATGTTTTTATTGTTCAATGTTAGCTATAAATTTAAAATTTAAATTATTAAATAAGACAATAGATAATCTTAAGAATGTTTTTTCATTAATTTTAAATATTTAGGTATTTAATTTTTTTTTTTTAATTCATTAAATTAAAATATAAATATAATTTAATAAATATGGTATTTTATTTTTAGACTGAGAAGAAAGTGACATCATTTGTTCAAGACGATCATCAGACTCGTTTGAAATTCCCTACTTTGAATAAAGTGCTACGCAATATTGTGTGAGTACATTAATTATTTTAATCATTATTTGTAGGAAACTAAGAAAATATATTTTTAAATAGACATGAAATTGCGGAGGATGCTGGAATGTTAGCTTATTCTTTTGGAGAAGAAGAAGTTGATCGTTATATTATGATATTCAAGAAAGACTCTCCACCTTCTGAGGATGAATTAAATGCACTCCGAAATGGTCAAGAATGGAATGATGATATTGCTAAAAGATTAACAGAACAAGTTTGTAATATATTATTAAGCTACAAACTAAATTTTAAAGTTGACTTCCAACAATAACCCATTAATATAAAATATTGTAGTACTTTCCATTCCTGAAAACCTTGCTCAGACGTTTAAAACAAAAATGATGTTGTGATCATCATAACCCTCCCACATTTATACTGGCCTAGGATCAATTCTGTTTAAGGATTGGAGGATAAGTAAGTTATGCCTCTTCCGATCCTTCTAAATAACAATAAAAAAAAAAAATTGTGACTTATTAATAGATGACTACTTATATCAAAGCTAACCAAAGCAATATTATATATTTCTCATGTTAGTTTATTAACATGATTATTATGTACATGTATACTATCAATTACACTTATACTAATAGTATTGTGCCCTTAAAGTGTTGATAGTATATTTCTAATGGGTATTGAATATTAATTAACTTATGAAGCAATAATTCTGTATTTATAATTGCATATTTTATATTAAAGACGTGTATAACAAACYCAGTCTGGATAAGAATATATCTTTATAACTTTATAAGTGAAGTATAAACCATTCTGCATACAAGTTAAATTGAAGAAGTTCATTCTGTAAAAGGAGGCAGTCAGAATAGTTGATTTTATATGAAGCTTTCTTTTCTAGCCTTTCAGTTTATTTAAATACAGTATTTAATGGTTTACTACTTTTTATTATTTCTATAGTGTTTGTTTTAAATTTTAGTTTGTATTATTTCACTTGGTGTTAAAAAATCAGCATTTTGGTATTCAATAGATATGAAAAGTTAATATAATATAATATRATATTATTTATTACTATCTAAAGTTTTCCTGACAATRATCATTTAAGCTTAGGGATACAGAAGTAGGTTTTTGATATTTTGTAAATCAGATCATGATAGGTATAAGTAAGCACTAAGTTTTTTTGATGTACAGAAAAATAAAAATTATCACATTACAAAGAAATTTAACAATTATAAATATAATATAATATAATATAAATATTTGTTTTTATTAATGTTTAGAGGGAACAAGTTAAAATTGAAAAAATGTTAGATGAAGAAAAACGAATGATGCTAAAGCGAACTAACCAAGATAAGCCTAAATATAATTACAAAGAAAAATTCCAACATCTTGTTGGTTTGGAAGCAGCTGAACAAGCAGCACGAAAGACAGAAACTAATAAATCTTATGGATTTGGTAAGTTAAAAMGATTTTTAGTCTGAGCTCAATAAGTATTTAATCATAAAATATTGTATAAAACAAATTTATTTTCAGTTCCAAGTGAAAATAAAAAAGATCAAAGGTCAATCGAGCAAACACTAGCAGACATACGTGAAAAAAAAAGATTGAAAATTGAAAATGACAACTCTCAAAGTCAATCTTTAAAAATGGACTAATTTTACTTACCTATAGCCCACATTTTTATGAAGTATAGTTTAAAAATTGATTAAATCAGACAAAATAGGAATACAGYTCATATTAAAATTGCTTAAAACAATGAAATGTAAAAATAAAATTCTTACATTTAAATGTATTATTCGAACAATTATTCATAATTATATACTCATTTTGTTTTAAATTATTCGTGAAAGCAATACTTAATATTATATTTTTGATATTTATTTAACTAAATCAGCTGTTAATTTGTAAGCCTAGAAATAAATGTAGAAGTAATCAAAAATAGTTTGTRTWTTATTATGTGCAATTTTATGATTTAACATTTTTTAAATTTCTTTTATTGATTCAAATTAAGAATCATATCTTAAAATAAATTGTGTTCCTAGTACCATGTATGAGTAAATACATCAAAAGTTATTTTCATAATAACAGTTAACGACCAGGATTAATCTCATGAATGCACACACTTAAAGTTATAATTATATCATAAGATTATATCAAATTCAAATGATATAGTTTTTATTGTGTGGTGCTTGATTTGCAGTTTGAATTTAATATTTCAATTTTAGTAAGTAGAGTTTAGACATTTCCTGTGTGAGATGTTTCCTTTTAGTGTAAAGGTGTTATTTATATTCCATTAAGACTGTTAAGAGACTGGAAATTAGTTTATCATTGTGTATTTGCATCAGTTAATTTTCTTAATTTGATTTTATCTACAAATTCACATTACTTGAAAGTGTATACAGTTCAATGATAAACAGCGAGATAAAAGTTAGTAATTGTGGCCAAAATGCTAGAAAGTTTGAGGTAATGTTTCAGTTATGAGTTATTTATTAATTTCTTATGGCAATACTTAAATTTAAGATACATATTTTTAATGACATAATATGAAGGTTTTATTTGAAAATTTTTTTTGGTATTCAGACTGAAATTTCTACTGCAACAATTTCAGTTATTTAAGGGAACTTCAAAAACTGTCCGCCATTGTGTTGTAATTTATATTTTATAATAATATGATGTATTAATATTTAATGTGTGATGTTTATGATGAAATATAACATAGAAATTAGAATTAGAAAYAACTWATTCCAAAATACAGTATTTAAATATTTGATGAATAGTAATATTAGAGTACCTATAGTAAATATTWTGATTATAAAATATCCTTAAGAATAGAGGCTGACACACTGTCATCACTCTGAATTGTTTTTAATTATAATTTTAAATAAATTAAAATTTAATACGTCAATGACCTACTCAAATAATCTAACGCTTCTATGGGGAGTATTAGCAAATACTATAAATGACATATCAACTTTAGTGTTTGGTATTAGTCGATGGTCGACGACTCAAAATTAGATAACTTGACTGTAGAGTGCAGAAAGAGTGTCGACTGTGTCGAGTTTCTCAGTTTAAAAAAAATAAATGTTTATGTATTATGTGCCTTCTTAACATTAATGATATTATTGATATTCACGATTATCGGATTATAGCCTATAGCCTATGGGCTATAGGATTGTTTATAAACTTAAAATTTATAAATTATAATCAATTATCATGGTGATATCTATTCTGTGATATTAGATCAATTATTACACTGTCTAATCCATGGTCTAATCAGCAGCTGGTATTCAGACATTCGACCATATCAGACTGGTTTTTGAGTCTCCACGTGAAAGTCAAGGAGATCGGAGCATAAATTGAAATCTATCCTCCCGTGTGACTGAATTTTGTTTATAAAAACCTAACCTATAATATCAAAATCTACTATCTTTCCGAATGTTGGTGTTCTGTTGAAATGTTCTTCTAGTTTTCGCGTCTGGTACAGTAACACTTTTCCGTCAAAATGGTAAGTTTTTAATTTTTATCCATTTTAATCGAAGCAACCATCTGCTCATCGGCCAAAACGTTTGCACTATTAATTTCCAAACAAATTAAAATGTTTAAAATATTACATATTATAGTTTATGTCCAAAGTCTTCTGATTATAACTCTACCGTAATATACGATTTTCGGGACAATTTATAGTCGTCCGTCAATCTGAATCGAACGATGCTTAACGAATTCCGTTACAGTTTTAATATTAAAACAATGATAATTTTAGAATAATTCCTATTTCGACGATCTTCTGATGTTGAAAGATGTTTACGTTTGGACATCAAACCGCTATTGATTTTCATTGTGTCGACTAGACGGCTTGTTTAGTTACTTCTATTATACAATGATAATATCCTATGTCTAATGCAAATCATTTTTAGGCCAGAGGTCCGAAGAAACATTTGAAGCGTTTAAACGCWCCCAAAGCATGGATGTTGGACAAATTGGGAGGTGTCTTCGCCCCTCGTCCAAGCACCGGTCCACACAAACTCCGGGAATCACTGCCGTTATTGATTTTCTTGCGTAATCGTTTGAAGTATGCACTTACTGGTGCTGAAGTCACCAAGATTGTCATGCAAAGATTAATCAAGGTTGATGGCAAAGTCCGTACCGACCCTAACTATCCAGCTGGTTTTATGGGTAAGTGACTCGTTCCATACTTTTAAGTGCGATCTAAAATAGCTGTATTCCAATGTATTGAATTTTTCAATCAGCCATTTAATATATCTTCCTTGAATGCTGCATTAATATTTGATTGATTTGATTTTTTTTTTTTTGTCATGATTACGTTTTTAGGAATGTTTTTGTTGTAATGGTTATTTATAGACAAAAGTATATTTATGATCCGTAGATTTATCTTGTGGGTAAAAAGTATTGAGTAGTAAGGTATGGTTTACAAATTTAAAGAAGTAT